TGGCCTATACAAGCTGTACCCTGGAGCTGTACTCTTAAGATGGTAGATGCTCTCCTGGAGCCCCTCAACCAGCTTCCAAAACAAATTAGAAATCCACTTCAGGTGATTGACATGGTGGCCAATGAGCCATTCTCTGCTCTAACAGAGTAAATATTTAATTTGAGCCAAGAGCCTCGAAGAAGTACAGAAAGCTGGGGAGGAGAAGTGGTTTTCGCCCTTCTGCCACTCCTGAGGACAGATGTTATGCTCTGAGAAGGCAGAAGGGAAGATTTGAGCTGATTGTAATCTAATGAAGCTGTCAAATCAGTTTTGCTTTCCAATACAGGATAATGACTAGTGAGACCCATGGGTCCTGAGCCAGGGTTCTTTTAACTGGTAGCATTATCTGGGTCAGACCTGTCAGCCTCTATGGGGAATACTCTGGAAAATGTCATCTTCCAAGCCAGGGTGGGAGTAACACTTGCCACTAAACAGGTGGTGATGCCCATGGTATTTAGAGGATAATCTCTGAGTTCATGAGATGTAGCAGGTGAGCACAGAATGGGAAAGGAGAAGGAAGAAGGGCAAGTACGCAGCATAATAGACGGAAAAAGAACAATACAGGTGGAATGGGAGTCAAGGGAGAGGAGAGAGATGACTTTAAAAGAAAAAGAAAACAAAAAGAGTAGAGATTAAAGGAACTGGGTACTGGGGAATAGAGGCATGTCTGGAAAGAAAATGAGAACTTCCAAGGGGCTTGAGTTCCTGATGGGTTCTGAAGACTTAAAATAGACAACACACACACACAATACACAAGACAACAAGGACACCCTTTGTATTCTAAGCAAGGTCATTTGTGAATATTTGTTAATAAGCTTAGTGACTCACTATATGGAAGAATAATCTGGCAAAATAGAAAAACTGTGCACCAGCCAGTTGGATTCTTGAAGCCCCAGAGTCCTCTTCCTGCTCTAGTGGGCTAGTTACTTAGGAGTTCCCCCAATGCTCTAGTTCCTTCTACTGCTTGGAAACAAGGCTGGTTCAATGTGCTTACATTTCCAGACAAACCCATCCCTGGGTTTGCCCCAAAGGTGGCAGCAGAGGGGCAGGGCCTCTGCCTTCCCGTCCCCTCCCGTACCCCAGGCGACTCCTACAATTTCACTCGGGGCCTGCATGGATGGAGGAGGGCCTGGCAGCCCCAAATACGCTGTGGCGTAGTGATTTCGTCACCCCAAGTGACTGTGTCTCCACCAGTAGTCACCATCCCTCCACACTACCTTGTGGGCTTATATTTCTGAGCTATTTTTTCCTCATATGTGAGTAATTTCATGAAAAATACAAGTGAAAACAGCTTCTGTCACCTACAGAGTCAGGAACAGAGATCAGATTCACAGATCAGATTATCCTTTAGAGACCCTCCCCACTCCCACCCCAAAGGAAGACAATGAAATGAAATGAAAATATGGGAAAATGCCAAGGTGTGACATTTATTTAGGCAATATTTTTCAAAAGCCAAAAAATTCTTCTCTATTAAAAGTTCCAAACAGGAGATGGATGCATTTGTTGAAAATAAGGGAGGGGGGGAGGCGGGGTGTAATCAAATAAGATGACTGTTTAGACTAGACGGCACTACTCAGTTTTCTTTTGCTTCTCCTAAAGTTTCTGGAAGTTAGCCAAGTGCAATGTAGCTCTTGTTTTGTTTTTTTTCATTCACCTTAGGGCAATGACAGGGGCTTGGTGAGGATGAGATCCATGTTCCATGGAATAAGTTAGATCCTTAGAGGGTTCCTGAGTTTTTTTCCACTTCGCCCCAACTCCAGGGCCACCACTCTAATCAAGCCACCATCACCCCTCACCTGCTCCCCTGTCACGGCTTCCACTCCTTCCCGTCTTTACTACCCACTCTCCACCTGGCAGCCAGCGGGCAGGGCACTTCCTCTACCGCGCCCCTCCCACTTACTGCCCCCGGTGCTTTTCCTTCCTAACACTGTCCGCAGCTTGTAAACGTGCGATTGTGAAACGCTTTGACTAGTGGTTCTCTCCCGCTTGACTGTAAACCTAGGAGAATGGGGACGGTTTGCAGCCTTAGTGCCTGGTTCAGTGCTTGTCACGTAAGGGCCTCGATCTATGGGGGCCTTCTAGATCAGATCACAGGGCTGTCGCGGAAGGAGCCGGAGTGAAGGAGGAGCTGCCAATCGAAGGCCTGGGGCGGGCCTATGACCTTAGCTGGCCAATCAGAATCCTTTCCTGAGTTGTTGAAAACTGGAGCGAAAAGCCTACTGTCTTGGGTTGAGTTCTCCCAGAAGCAGACGCTGAGTTGATGATTCAGGTGCAAGTGCTTTTTAAAGGAAATGCTCCCAGAAGAAAGCAGTAAGGGAGAGGGGGGAAGAAGGATAGGGAAGAAGCCAAGCAATGGAGCGGGCATCGAATCAGGAGGAGGGGGAGGCAACCCCTGAGCCCCAGTCTGGGCTGCTGAAGACGTGCGGTTAGTACTGGAAGGTCGGCCCCGGTAGCCCTAAGCTCCTGTCTCCCATCTCCTGTCTCTGCCTGGGGTCATGGGCTCTACATAAAAAGCTACCACAGCCACCTGCCTGGGCTTTTGTTCTGGCTCGCTTGTCACCCGCTTTCTCAGACTCTTTCTGTCTTGGTGGCCTCAGCTGAACCCACAGGTTTTGCATTTTGTTCTTCACCACCCGCACTGGTAACCTGGCTCCAGATGTTAGATCTGTGCGAATCCCCTGCCTGGTTCCTCGTGCTGCTTCCCAGGCGTGAGATGCCCCCGTGGTTTCTACCCACCTTCCTGGGAGGGAGATCCGAGGCTCAAAGACATTGCCTGACTCCAAGACCCTGTGCTTATTTGGGCTTAAAAGTGTTTTTTATTTATTGAAGGACAAACCTGGAATCTACTAAAATCTCTTGATATTTTAAAATTAACTAGATAGTTTCATCGAAGGCAGCTTAAATGACTATGAAGAGGGAAACTACCTTTTTTTTTTTTTTTTTTTTTTTTGCGGTACGCGGGCCTCTCACTGTTGCGGCCTCTCCCGTTGCGGACTCCGGACGGGCAGGCTCAGCGGCCATGGCTCACGGGCCCAGCCGCTCCGCGGCATGTGGGATTCTCCCGGACCGGGGCACGAACCCGTGTCCCCTGCATCGGCAGGCGGACTCTCAACCACTGCGCCACAAGGGAAGCCCAGGAAACTAACTTTTTAAGATTCATTGCTCCATTTCTTTCATCCGCCTCCATCGCTGACGGTATGAGCTACAACTTATTAATGACAACGATATGTCAGGCTTCATGCATTCACACATACATTTCATTCTCAGTGTTAGAGAAGATAATTTCCCCAGAGTCACACAGCTGGTATTGGGAAAGGCTTAGATTCCAACGTGGGTCTATGTGACTCCAAGCCCATGCTCTTTACTGCTTCACTCAACTTTTTTCAGTGATCATATCTCCTGGGCTGAATGCCAAGATCTAAATCATAGGGATTTGGGAGTGTAAGGAGGAGAAACAGAGTAAATCTTTGGAAATGCTTCAGAAATGGTTTCTGCGTATGTGGGCAACATTCCATGACCAAAGGATCCCAAGTCCCTTACCACTGACATTTCATTCATTCAACCAATACTTATAGAATACTCCTTGTGTTAGGCACTGTTCTAGGCACTGGGTGTTTCTCAATGAACAAAGAAAAAACACTGTGCTTGCTCATAGAATTTACCTTCTAGGATGCAAGAAGGAGGCTTTGAAGGGAGGTAGGAAATAAACATAAAAAGTTAAGTAAATTTTGTAGTGATCACTGTTGGGGGGCAGAGAAGAGCAAAGTAAGGGAAATTTGGAGTGCAATTTGAAACAGGATGGTCAGGTGAGGCCTCCCTGAGAAGGTGACTTCTGAGCAGACTAGGAGATGAGAGGGTGAGGCATGAGGCTGCCTTGAGGAAGAGTGGTCCTGATGGTAGTGATGTGGCAGCTTCACTAGTTCGTTAAGCTATTCCGGTCCTACCCACCCCCACCCAACACCCATACTCAACTCAGTTTTTCAAGAAGCTGGGGTGACTGGAAACCAGAAGTGGCAAAATTCCCCACCTCTCAAGCCATCTGCAGCTGCAGCTCCTTTTTTGTTTTTTTGTTTTTGTTTTAGTTGTAGGGGGTTTTTTTGTTTGTTTTTTGTTTTTACGAACAATGCTGCAATGAATATTCCTATAAATGTATCTTTGAACATGTGCATGACTGGTTATATAGAATAAATTATTCCTGGAAGTGAAATTGCAAAATAGCCCCTGCCAAACTGCCCTCCAAAGAGTCGATTTACCCTCCTGCCAACAGTGTATCAGCGAGTGAGAAGATTAGGATTGTAAATATTTTTACAAAATACTTTTTCCAAGTAAGGGAGGCAGAAAGGCATTGGGAGCTAACGTCATTAAGAAAGTACAAAGTGTATCACATCTCAGGGACAGGGTTAGCCCATGATGAGCAAATGAATGGCAAAGTCAGGGGCCAGGAGAGGGACTGGGTGAGATGTGAGTGTTGCTTGAGGGCAGTGTCCATTTCAGGGATTCTAACTTGTGCCTAGAGGTGGCTACTGCATGTAAAGGAGCTGCCCCAGGCTGCACAGGTATGGCTTTGTGCAAATCTCACTGTCATGAGTGCAGGTCGTTGGGGTTTTTTTTACTCTTAACTTATTGGTAAGGGGCAAAGCAGAGCTTTCTGTTGCCTATGGCTCTGTAGAGGCGGTATTGCCACGTGTCAGCCAAGACTGTTTACACAAACACATTAGCCTCGCTGCTACTCTCGCCTGAGGGAAAATAACACACAGCCAAGCATACAGTTGCAGTTTGGGGTTTGAGCTGCACGTGAACACACCCAGCATTTGGAGTCCTGCACAGGAAGAAGGCAAAGCCATAAACTGAGAGGTCAGAGACTTAAGGTTGAACCCCAGGTCTGCCACTTAACAGCTGAGTAGCAAGTTACTTAAGTTCTCTGAGAGTCTTTCTTATAGAAAACGAGGGTATATCCAGACCTCAAAGGATTGTTGTGAAGATTAAACAGGATGTAAAACACCTGACACGATGGCTGGCCCGTAGCACCTGCTCATATAACCTCTTTTAGAAGAACACCATTCAGGATGTCCGGTGGACCGCAGAATTAGATGCCACATTTGAGAACCTGAGAGAAAATATGGACATTTCAATAAGACTCTCCTCAAAAACACACAATTTACTTTCAACTCTGCCCTTAGATTCCTGCGAATCTGAGGGAAAGTGAATGTCCACCCTTCAACCCAGGGCTTTGGAACAACGACTCCAAACAAACCCAAGTGAAATCTGACTTCGATGTCTTTTTTTTCTAAGTGTATTTTACAAAGAAAAATACATAACTAAATGAAAAGTTTATTCCAATACAACATCCTCTAAAATGACTCTGTGGAAAAGGCAGTAAGTAGAAGTCTTTAGGCTATATTCACTTTCTTTGACATTAACTCATATAACACAAAATCGTTGATTTTTAAATATTTACCACCGAAAACCATTAAACGCAAATGCCACCAATGTTTGTGTAAAGAGTCACCTCTTTCTTACAGTTTTGGACCTTTACAAAAATATTTTTATAAAAAAATAGGGATTTCAAGATTGACTGGTTAATATTTTAGCAAGAGATGTCAGAAAGATCTTTGGTAAATCCAAGATTTTTTTCTTTGGTTCTTAGCCTCTGTAAGAAGCGAATGATTTCCAAGAATTACCACCAGAGGGCACTGATGCCAAATTGAGTCACAAAGTCACATAGAGTATATTTGGCCTTGCTATCACCGAAATACTCCCACTTAAACAAAATGCCCCCTTATAATTGAGCAAAACTTTGAATAAAAATACCTCACACTGGCACTAACTGAAAGCAAAATGTCTAACTACATGCAAACACTGATATAAACACAAACTCTTCAGGAATAGTATACTGGTGTTTTTTCTTATTAAAAGTAGACATGCATAAAATTTAAAATACGGCAGAACCAAGAACGTGTTCAAAATAACTAGGTACTGGTCTCTTGTGCCTGCTTCTCTGTGATCCTCTAGTTTTCAGCATTTGTACAACTTTTTTTTTTATGAGGACTTTTAAAAAAATATTTATTTATTTATTTGGTTGTGCTGGGTCTTAGTTTTGGCTCGCAGGCTCCTTAGTTGCAGCATGCGGGCTCTTTAGTTGTGGCATGTGAACTCTTAGTTGTGGCATGCATGTGGGATCTAGTTCCCTGACCAGGGATCAAACCCAAGCCCCCTGCATTGGGAGCGTGGAGTCTTAACCACTGCGCCACCAAGGATGTCTCTGTACCACTTCTTGAGTTTAGTGTCTAATAAGCTCCAGTGAGGCTGTATTGCAAAGAATGGGTATCTAGACAAGATCTGGGTTTGAATCCCAGCTTTTCCACATAATAACTTTGTGATATTAACAAAGTCTCTAGGCCTCAGTTTCCTCACCTGTAAGATGAGAGCAGTAATAATTAGCCTGCCAAGCTGTAGTAAGGTGTATGAGATCATGCTTACAAAATCCTTAGCACATTTTGGGTGCCTACTTAATGCTGAAATTTACTAGGATTGTATGTAGGATTCATGCATAAAAAGATCCTAAGAATGAAGTTCTATTATTATTCATATATTACATGCATGAAAACTGAGGTTATATAACATGCCAAAGGTCACAGAGCTACTAAGTAGTAGGGAAGTTTACAAAGCTCATGATTTTACTTTCCACCCTTAGAGGGTGGAGGGTGGGTAGGTGGGCACTGTATATTATGCTTCTTTGCATCAAAGCTGATAAATGATTGATACTCAATAAATGCCTGGTGGAGGTGATGAATTATGTATATGTAGTAACTTCTGGGGGGGAAAACTGAGATAAAAATACAATTTGCTCTGAAAAATCAAAAGAACTTTACCAAAGCAATGTGTTTTTATCATTATTAATATTATTGCTATCATTATGATAAAATGCATCACCAGTTTGGCAGATTGCAGGTTAATGATATGCAGAGACTATAATTCAGTCTAAAAGGTGCTAAATTTCTAGGAAATAGAAAGAAAGAAAGGTCAACCTGGGGTTCAGACAGTTCAGAGTTTCTGAGCAGGGAGAGGAGCTAGGCCCGTGCAGGGAGAGGGAACACAAGGCGAGCACTAGGGCACTGACAGGTAAGCTGGTCCAGGACCACACCTTACGCACACCTGGATGAGCCCCACCTCCCCAGCCAGACCCAAAGAACAGCCTGAACCTGAAGGGGCTTCAGCCCTGGGGCCAGTGAGAAAGATGTAATCCTTGTTTGCTTCCTGGCCTCTGTGTGTCCATCCTTGTCACTACCGCCATCACAGTTCCCTGCCATCAGAGAAATGTGTCTAGGTCATCTTTGTATTCCCAGTGCTACACCTAATAGCTCGCTCAGTGACCCTCTACAGCCTGAAAAATTAAAGGCCCCATACTCACCACCACTGCCGCCCCAGGAAGAGGCGTTTGCCAGCATCTGTCCTGAAGCATCAGCATCAAGTGCTTTCAGCCACAGCACCCGCAGAGCTCTGGGACCTGTGTATTCTTGCTATACAGGCAGCAAGGAGCACAGGCCTGCTGCTGCTACAGCAGGCCAGACAGAAGCTAATTATAGCAACCTGAACCTGCCATGACTAACAGGCTTATTTAATTTCAAATGTTTGTTTGTTGACCTACAAAAATCAAATACAGTGGCCTCACAGGCCAGGCTGCCACTGGAGCCCTGGGAGGGATGTCTGTGTGCGAAGCAATTACGTAGGCCCCATTCGGGTGGGGATTGGATTGCATGGTGATACCTGGAAGAGAATCCACTCTGGAAACCTGTCAATTCTGTGGGGAATGTGGTTCAACTTGGGCAGCGAGTGAAAGGCATGAAGCTGACCACGGAAAGCCCTCAGCCAGTGAAGGCTCTTCAGCATGAAGGCTAATTTGGGGAAATAATGAAATAGCTCCCTTCACAAGAATCTACTATGTATCATGTCCATTAGGTACATTATTACATCTGTTCCTCCCATCTTTATGAGACAGATATAACTATTCCAATTGTACAGGTGAGCCTCTGAGTGATTAGATAACTTACTCATGGTCATACTGTGATAGCAATAATAAGAGCAAATATTTATTGGGTACGTATTAATTCTGAGCTGAGCACTTCACGTAATACTATCTAGTCCTCATACTAATCCTATGAGGTAAAGATTATTATTAACCCCATTCTCCAGATGAGAAAACCGAGGCTTGAGGAGGTTAAGTAACTTGCCCAAGATCACAAACAGGTACTATGTGGCAGAGCCAGGGTTCCTATGATGATAATAGAGTAAGTCCCCTACATATGAATGAGTTCCATTCCTAGAGTACATTCGTAAGTAAGTCCAAAGTTAGCCTAGGTACCCAACTAATACAATCAGCTATATAGGACTACTATACTGTAATAGGTTTATAATACTTGTCACACAAATAATACATAAAAAAGAAACAAACACAAGCACAAAAAACAAAGGAAACATTTTTAATCTTACAGGACAGTACCTTGAAAAGTACAGTAGTACTGTACAACAGCTGGCATAAGGGACTGGCATCGAGTGAACAGGCAAGAAGAGTTACTGACTGGAGGAGGGAGAGGAGGTGGGAGACGGTAGAGCTGAAGGATCGTCAGCAATAGGAGGCGGGGATGGGGGACAAGCTGCCATTTCACTCACACCTGACGTTGATGGAACACGTTCTGGTTCCTTGCTGGATTCAATTCTATCTACCTTCTTGAAAAAAATGACCCAGTGATGTCTGGGTAGTAGCTCTATTTTTCTCATCATAGATGACACGGTAGCACCGGATTGCTTTCTGAACGGCTGCTGCAACCTTCGTGTACCGTTCTACGTTCAGGTCCTGGGCCTCAAAACCTAACAGTGCCTCTCCTCAAATAAAGAAAATCTTGCCATTTCCTACATCGTGAATCTCTTCGGTTCTTCAGTTACTTCTTCCTCTTGTCTCTCTTCGTCCTTTCTCTGGGCCTCCAATTCCATCAGGTCTTCATTAGTAAGCTCCACGTTTGCATCTTTGAAAGTTCGCAACTTGAAGGTTTGTATGTAGGGGACTTACTGTAACAGTTAATATTTATGGTAGGTACATTGCTCCATGTCTTTTGTCATTTCAGTCCTCACAACAACCTTGTGAGGTGGGAATCAGTATCCCCATTATACAGATGAGGGAACTGAGTCTGGGGGAGATTAAAGAAATGTATCTAGGGAATAAGGATTTCAACATAGAGAGTTTTACCCCAGGACACAAGCCTGAAATCACTGTGCTATGCTAGCTCCCTGGGCTAGACATCCTCAGATGGCAGGATGTGAAACTAGGCTTCAGACCCAGTCTATATGGCTTCACGGCCTGCACTGCTTTCTGGCTCTTGATTATACAATCCTCCGAATGAGGTTCTTGTCTAAAAAGCAGCAATGGACCTTGAAGTCCAAGCACATCAGTACAGGTTACTCTGATCCAAGGGCAGCCAAAGAGAAAGGAAAGTGCATGGAGCTAGAAGGAGACTGGAATAAGAGGGGAAGGACTGAGCTTAGAATTTGAAGCCCATCACCCAAATCAGCGGCCGAGCACCCCTGTCCTGGCCAGAGGCAGGCGTAGTCAACACTGGCAGCAAGGTGCCATCCAAGTGCGGGAATTTGGAGCAGGCTTGTTATTAATAATAATGATGCAAACGGCCACTAATATTCACTGAGCACCAGTTAGGTACGAGATATGGTTCTAGGCTCCCACATACATTCTCTCATCTATTATTTCCCCATTTCACACACGAGGTAACTGAGGCTCAGAAACATGGAAGACCTGCCCAAGGTGACAGGTAGGAAGGGGCAAAGCCAGCACTTGGATCCAGATCTCACCCTAGAGCCCCCAAGCTGAGATCTTTCTGCCACTGATGTCACTAGGCGGTGAGCTAACTTAGTGCCTCAGTTAATTAGGTTTCATCATCTACAAAATGAGCTCAGAAGTTCCTCTCTTATAAAGGAATTCCCTCCCTCTTAGGGAGGGAAGGTATTAAGGCAGTTCTTTCCAAAAAAATATCTGGCAAATCTTTAAAATTTTCCAAGCTGTCGCTAAATAAATATACCTGTCACAAAAGGATGCAGGATCCTTAAAGAAGACAGCACAACATCAAAACAAAATAAACTTCCATTGTTTATTGTAATCAAATCCACAAAATGTAAAATGGAATTGTATTACGTCACTCGAAAATATGCCAGTGACACACACAGACACACATGCACCCCTTCACTACCCTACCATTAACGGAGATTCCTCTCTGTAAGGCAGTGGGCAGGTCTGTATGGACTGAATAGTGCGAAGTTGACTTCCAAGATTTGTAGGATGCGTTATAACTCCCCTACCCTCCATAAGCTCTTTCTGCCCCAAAGTATCAGAGAGCTCCTAGGGAAAGCCCTAAGAGATTCAACAGGAATTCTTAGAAGCTGATATGCTTTGTTGAATATCTCCAACGTAGTCACAAAACACAGTGTAGAATTTGTCCCAGAAGGTCCCCATCATGAGACAGAAAGAGCCCTTTCTCTTCAGTAGCCTCTCCCCCAATAGTAAGAGAAACCCAAAATGTTCGTGTTAATTTGCTACCTTCACTTGAACTCAGGAAACACATCTTAATTCCTGTTTGCCTAGTTCAGAGTCACAATATCAAGACAAAAAATGCTATCAAATATTTCTTCAAAAATATTCATTTCTACATGGAGCTTTACAAAGCTTTCATGACTCAGGGTGTCTCTGAGTCATCCTTATGCCATATTTATTTGGTAAGAATGCAGAGTCCAGCTTTATTTATGCAAATAAATGCACTTTTATTTTATGTTAAGAAAAAAAGATATTCATTTCTGAATGCTTTCATATAACACTAGAATCTTGTTATAATGGTAACAAATTTGCACTAAAATCCACGTCTTCAGCTGTTCTGTGTGATGGGTTTATTACTCTACATACTGTTCAATCCCTGGAGATGGTCACTTAATTAAATTTAGAGAAGTCTTCATGGATAGATTCCTAATTTAATGTTTCTATGCCAAGAGTGTCGGAGGTCTCATTTCCGTACAGAAAATTCTACTGCCACAAAAAGAGAAAAAATGAACTCAAATGGCTACTATCTCTCCTAAAACTGCCTGCTGGTAGCTGAGCTCTGGATCTAGGGTCTCGGTTAGAAGAACACCCCCATCAAAGGGGAAACCTCTTTCCTCCACCTACCTGAGCGCCTCTCACAGGCCACTGCACGTCCAGCCAGAAGCAGTCTTTGATCTTAAAACTCCATAGAGATATCACAGGGCTACTGGAACTGCAGTACTTAAAATTCTCACCAACACGTTTCTCCACCCCATCCACCATCTTGGCAGAAATTCTTGTAACACTGATGAAAAAAAGTCAGTGTCAAGATCTTATGAAAACATTAAGGCTTGCTGTGGAAGGGGGTGTGAGTGGCACTTTTTTTTTTTGGCGGTACGCAGGCCTCTCGCTGTTGTGGCCTCTCCCGTTGCGGAGCACAGGCTCCGGAGCGCAGGCTCAGCGGCCATGGCTCACGGGCCCAGCCGCTCCGCAGCATGTGGGATCTTCCCACACCGGGGCACGAACCCGCGTCCCCTACATCGGCAGTCGGACTCTCAACCACTGCGCCACCAGGGAAGCCCGTGTGTGGCATTTTTAAGTCCTAAGGACAGTTCCGACTTCTGGTCCTCCTGTCAGGTTTTTGAATTTTTCTAACAAGCTAACAACAAATGTCTAACCTCTAGGGTGCAGGGTTGGACAGCTTAAAACAGAACATGAGCCCTGCTCCCCATCTCACCCACATCCATCCTGCTCCACACATGGTTTACCTTAGTCTGAATGAAAGACATAGCTTTTGAAAAGGCATCGTTAATAGAGCAGAATTTGTCTGTTGAGCATTCTGTCAACCAGAAGGCTTTATGAGAACGAAACTGCCTACACATGCGTAACAGTTATTATTGTTTAAAATGAGAATTTTGAGGTCCTAGGATTCTGTCGCACCACCCAGCAGCCACTGGTGTCCATATCCTGCGGATTCTGTTTCCACGGTAACTCTGGCTATACATCTCCTCTTTTCACTGCCCTTTCTCAGAGGAGGACTTCATCCTGTCTCTCCTGGTCTGCCATCATCATCTCCTAACTGATGTCCTTGCCAATCTATCCCGTACATCACACACTGCCGTGTTATTCATCCTGAAGCACAGGTCCAGTTTGTGTCATTCCTCTGCTCAAACACCTTCAGTAACCGCCACAGCCCCTATAGTCTTTGATCTGCCATTGAGTCCTCTCCACTAGGTGGTCCCCAACACCTACCTTCCTAAACTCATCCTCCAGTGCTTACCTTTTCACAGCTTCCTGTGATTTCCTACCCTCCACCCTTTACTCCTCAAATTTCCAATCACCTTCCTGCTCCCGTTTCTGCCTGTCAGAATCCTACCCCCATCTTTTCAAATAAATGCTACCTCCCTCGTGAAGGTCTATTTCACTCCAAGTCCACCGTCCCTGTAAATAAACACACACCAGATATGACCTCCTCTGAAACCCCATTACACTTTACACTTTTCTGAAAATGCCATAGCCTACCCAGTATGAGAGCTAGTTGTGAGCTTGCCATAACCACAAATACTTTACAGGGTCATAGCAAATCTGCATTCTTACAATGCTTGGTACAATGTGCTAAGCATGTACCAAATACCCCAGAAGTGTTAGTGGGTGCTATGGAGTGAAGGTATCCACCCAAAATCTACAGTTTGAAGCCCTAATCCCCAATGTGATGGTATTTAGAGGTGAGATCTTTGTGGGGTGATTAGGTCATGAGGGTGGAGCCCACATGAATGGGATTAGTGCCCTTATAAGAAGAGACACTGCAAGAGAGTTGATCCCGCTCCCTACCATGTGAGGACACCACAAGAAGCCAGATCAGAAAGACAATCCTCACTAGACACCAAATCAGCCAGCACCTTGACCTTGGACTTCTAGCCAGCAGAACCGTGAGAAATCATTTTCTGTTGTTTAAGCCACAACACAAGTCTGTGATAAAATGTTATAGCGACCCAAACTAAGACAGTGGGTGTGTCCATGTAGGTAAACAATACACAATCATTTTGCTTTCAGAAATATTTAGAAGACTTTTAAGTTTTCATACCTGGTAATAAAAAACTTAAAAACAAAGGCTGTGTGCTCTAGAGCCCACGAGCCACAACTACTGAAGCCCGCAAGCTTAGAGCCGGTGCTCCTCAACAAGAGAAGCTGCCGCAGTGCGAAGCCCACGCACCGCAAGGAAGAGTAGCCCCCGCTCGCCACAACTAGAGAAAGTCCCTGCGCAGCAACAAAAACCCACGCAGCCAAAAAATATGTTTTTAATAAAATGAAAAGTTAAAAAAAAAAAGGCTGAAAGGCTTGAGAGTATATATGATACGTGCAAAATAAATAAAATATCTTAATCAACTGAGCCACCTTGCACATAAATGGATTTGACAATTCTAATGTATAATATTGTGAATGCTGCTATTTAATATATCCCGATGATCTGAAGCCAGCCTTACATTTCCATCTCCAGTCCTTGTCCCTTTCCTCTGTGGAGTTTCTTTATAGGCTTTTTTTTTTTTAACTCAAGTTGGTACTGAATTTTTGGCACTCACAAACCCATCACTTTAGCAAAGGAGCTCAAGAAGTAATAAGCAGACCCAGATTTGGGTTCAGTGCCCAAAATAAAATGCAGTTTCTCCACTTTAATCGGATCCAGCCAAATGGCCAGTCCAATATGCAACATATGTCCAGCCAACTGGTTGGAGTCCATGCATTTGGTTCCTTCTGTAGATTAATGAGATTATGGCATTGTTAAAAAGAGGCAGAAAATGCTAATTTGACATCTACCATGATATACTTTACAGTTTGGGGGGTTTCTGCATTTTAAGACATTTTTAATTACTTTGGTGTGCTGTGCCAATGAGGACCATATGCCCGTTCTTGTCCTTTCCCGGCTGTCTCCACAGTCACCTGCACATTCCCAGCCAGTGCAGACTGTCGAGAACTTGCTTATCACAGCCTCTGTCGAGAAGAATCAAAGGGCAGCTTTCTCTTTCACTTGTGCATGCATTTTCTGGTTAAAGCTGTCTCAGAAGAAAATAAAAATCACTTACATATTCAGAGCTAAAAATTAACTGACCTGTAATGAAAACCTAGTTCAAAACAAAGGAGTTTACCTGGCTTTAAGAGAAAGCCAACCACATAGCAATAGAGGCACTCGCTAAAAGTACATTCCTCTGTGACTTGGAAAAAATTGGAATTTCACTCATATGATGTACATTATTTACATTAAAAAAAAAAATCACTTGTGGTTCTGCAATTTGTCACTGGGCTGTGTGCTATATGCTGCCCCAGAAGACTGTTGGGAATGACTGATGTGACGTGTCTTAACATACAAGGTATGACTCCATCTTTTGCAAATGCTTCTGACCACTCAGAAACTTTAGCAAAGCAGAGTTGTACCTCCCTCCTTCGATCCTCAGGGAAGACTCACCTCATAATCATCTCCTTGTATGGTGATGAACTTTACATGCAGAGGGTGCTCAGTGTGAAGGTCAGCACAACTTATCTATCCAAAGCTTTTCCTAAAAGCACATTTGGAGCTGAGGACTACAGTCTCAAAAACAGAACAAAACAAAAACAAAAGACTATGCAAGCTAAGTCATGAATAATAATGGTAGCTGGACACTTGTGAAGTACCTACTATAGGCCAGACATCATTCTGATTAACTCATTTAATTAACTCATTTTATTATCTCTTTCTTACAGACTAAAAAAAATGGAGGCACAGAAATGTTAAGTAACTTGCCTAAGTTCATCCAGTGGGAAAGTTAGAGTCAGGATTTAAACTCAGAGAGTCTGGGAAAGACGGCGCCCTTACCTGCTACATTAGAGTAAAAGGAAAAAATGAACAAAGGCCACCATCCTGCTGAAAATATAAAGATGAAGAGAACAAGCTTATTTTTCCAAATTCTATTGAGCAATTCTTAAAAATGTTTTGTTTACCACGAAAGCATTTTAACATTTTGGGGGTCCAAAATATGAAATAATGGTTCATAGATTTAGTTCAACGTTGGCATGATGGCAGCCCTCCAGTGAGGAGGTATACAGGAAAACAATGCAAAACAAAACACAAGCATATGCATCTCAAATCCACCCAGCAAGAACACAACTGGCAGCAAAGAGAACCCAAGTGTCTTCTCCTGCCCACCCAACACGTTCTCCGCTTACAAGGGAACCTGGTTCTTTTTCTTCTCATGTTTTAGGGAGGCAGTAAAAGGCTCCCAGATGCTGCTGGACAGGCAGCTTCCACACCACCTGGAGGCAGCCGGCTTGCTGCTTGCACAGATGTGTAGTGGACAGCAATGTTGAGCCCAGGAAAAGGGCAGAAAGCAGTCGGGGGCAGGAGGGCTGTCACAGAACCGCTCCTCGGTGCCAGCATCTCCCACCTGTCCCTGGGCTGAGACATACCTTCTTCTGGAGCTGCTGCAGACCCAGAGAAGTGGAAACGGAAAGCCCATATGGGCTGGGAGTTGGAGTTGAAAAAGATGGGTAGAAAACACAAGTGAGTCTCCACCTGTTCCTTTAAACTGAGGCTGAACCTCAGTTCCAAACCTGATTTCTGGTCATAAGACAGTGGGCCAGTCACTTGAACTGCTCCTACTTTGTTCAGGCCACCACTACCTTCATCCCCTACCTGGTTGTCTTGCGATCAAGTCCAAGATTTTTACGATAACCCTTAGGATCTGGCCCCTGCTTACCTCTCCAGCTTCATTTCTCACTCCAAATCTATATTCCAGCCAGGGTTAACTTTCAAGGGTCATGTTAGTTCCCACCTCTGGGCCTTTGTATATTCTGTTCCCTAGAAACACCTTCCCACCCTCTCCCTTTTTTTTTTTTCTTTTAAGCTAGCCAACTCCTATTCAACTTTTAGGTCTCAGTTGGATGTCACTTCCTCCAAGAAGCCTCCCTGACTGTCTCCTGTGTGCTCTCACAGCACCTAGTGCTTATTCGCATGGAGCACTTATAATCAAGTCCATCGTAAAGGACTGCTTGCTCCTCAGTATCTCACCATGCTGTGAGCTCCTAATGGGCACCCTCCTGCTATAAGCTTCAACAGCACCCTGTTAAGCCATGTCTCTTACCTCTTTTATGTTTCTCTTTCCTGCTAGATTGTAAGCTCCAAGAGAGCAAGGACTTGTCATTGTTATAGCCCTAGAGCCTAGCACAGTGTCTAGCATGTAGCAAGAATATAATAAGTATGGTTGACTGAGTGAATAAACAGACTTCTCTGAACCTCAGTTTCCCCATCTATAAAATGGGGGAAAATAATATTCATCTCAAGAAGTATATGAGAATCAAATGAAATAGCATATACAAAACACCTGACACAGGGTAGGAGCCCATAAATGGCAGCTATACTGACCATCCAGGACACAGCTTCCCAATCACCCTCTAAGTCTAGAGAAAGTCTGAATTCAGCAGGTGCTCACACTGCATCTCAAAAATATCACCATCATTTTCCTTAAAATTCACTAGAGAGGAAGCCACACCTCTCCCACTAGCAAATACCTATGTTTGCCAGACCTGTTAATTAGTCAATAATAATGTCTTAACCATCAACATATGCTGGATTTTCAACACTCTTCACATACTTATTTGATATCCAAAGGAAGAAAGTCATCAAAGTCATTTCCAAGAGTCATTTATTCATAGTCTTTTTCACCTTCTCTGTCTCTCTCTGTCTCTCTCTCTCTCTCTCTCTCTTACACACACATACACACACACAGACACACACAGAGTGTCCAGGACCCTGAAAAAGTTTTCAAAGGACAAAGAGATAACCATTCATTCACCATCCACTGAGGGCTCACTCAGTGCCATCTAGAGGCTGAGGCAGAGGAACAAGGACAGATGAGACACAGGCCATGCCCCTTGGGTGTTCACAGGCTACGAGTAGGAAGAAGCACATAGACGAGTAGTAAATGGCACAAGGGTGGGAAATGCGGGGTAGTACCTGGGAAGCCCAGAGGAGGGAGCTAAAGCACAACCTAGTCAGGCTTTAAAAAGGCCTTAGGAGCAGGCTATTTCTGACTTGACTCTTTTGGCTACACCTTTGGCCCACTTGCTCTCATTCTGTCCTCTGTGAAGATGGAGAACAGTTCATCAGCACCTTCCTCATAATAACGGCCTTGATCCATCATAAAGCCCAGCTCTAATGAACACAGAAGTCACCAAGGACACGGTCCCGGGCTGAATATTTCACTGTCACAGAAGTCTGCAAGACAGGACTTGGAATCAGTCCAGTTGAGCTAACAGGAGCTTTCTGAGCACTAGCTATTCGGCCCTTTCATAGATAAGCTCTTCGTAGGTGGTTGTGCAAAAATATCTGTCTGTTTATTTCCTCTGAGGGCTACTTTTTAAGTTCTGGCTTGGTCTTCAACCCTCCAAGCACTTTATTTTGCGTTTTGAAAAGCAGGGCCCAGTTGAGACTCAGAATCATTACTAAATTAAAAAAAAAAAAATCTCGTATGAATTATAAATGCAGTCAAATCTCATTTTCAGGTCTTGTTAATGAGGAAGGACCCATTTCCTTCTGTTCTGAGTGTAATTTCAGAGGAAGGCACATGGAAGAATCCATTGCCAGAGACAGCCTTAGGAGCAGGTGGTGGAAGGGTCCTCCAACAGCTGTGAGCTGGGTGCTCAGAAAGGCATCTCTGACCAGCACCCTCTCCCACAAGCCCTGCTCTGGACACTGGAGTGGCCACCGTGGGGAGGCTCCTGAGGTACAGAGGACTGTTATCAGGGAAGAATAACATTTTCAGTTCACAGGGAACAACTTTTCTGATAACTAGTAAATATCACCCACAACATATCCAGAGAATGAGTGGCTGGGAAACAGACCTGGTGAAATGTAAGCAGGGGGATACACTGGCAGATGGGGTGCCCTCAGCTCAGATGGGTTGGTCATACAAGAGCACTGGTCCCTGGAGCAGTATAGTAGTTTGCTGGGGCTGCCACGAAAAGGTACCACAGGCTAGGTGGCCTAAACAACAGAAATTTATTTTCTCACAATTCTGGAGGCAAGGAGTCCAAGATTAAGATGTCTGCAGGGTTGTTTTTTTCTAAGTCCTCTTTCCTTGGCTCATAGACGACTGTCTTCTCTCTGTGTCTTCACATGATCTTACCTCTGTATGTGTCTTTGTCGAAATCTCCTCTTCTTATAAGGACGCCAGTCATATTGGAGTAGGGCTCACCCCAATGACCTCACTGAACTTTAACCACTTCTTTAAAGACTATCTCCAAATATAGTCACAAGCTGAGGTGCTAGGGGATAAGACTCCAACTTATGAGTTTTAGGGAGACATAATTCAGCTCATAACAAGGAGTGAAAAGGGAAATATGGAATGAGGAAAAAAGGGATGAGGCTAGGAATCCACCAGGGTGGCACTACAATGGTTTTGATCATGAAAGGCTAGGGGGCGGGAGTGGAGGATTTCAGCCACCACCTCTCTGCCGAAGCCTTCCAAGCCAAATTATCTAGCTCTGACCTCTCTCTCAGAGAGTACCACATTTCCAATGCCTACTGGATATGTGCCACCTGCATGACCTGCCAACATCGTTAACAAACACAGGAAAACTCAAATTGAACTCGTTTCTGATTTCTATGATTGCTATCATCAAACTTCCAGGAATTTTTGATCCTTTCCCTCTTGATCACCAAGGCCCTTTGCCCTTGCTTTATTGTATCTCCTTGCATCCATTTCCTTTTCTGAGGCTGTGATTGCTATCACATCTCCTCCGGCCATTATTATCTGGACCATTGAAAACAGCTCCCAACAGGTCACGGTACCTCCAGGCTCTGCTATCAACTCACCTACACATACTACTCTCAGGTTAACCTGTCTAAGCACTGCTTTCAGCATGAATGTACCTGTACTCTGAAACATTCTATGGCTCCCTGCTATCACCAGGAAAGATCTTAACTATATAACTTAGCATTTGAGGCCTTCCCTTCCTGTCTGATAGTCCACTCCTGCCCTAAACATTCTGAGGAACGTTGGAAATGAATGAATGAATGAACACTCCTCCCCAACCCTCCCTTCCATAAGATGAGCCTCTTACTGCCATCTTGTAACATGCCATGTATACGCTCCTGTGCCCAGCATTTCCTCCTCTACCTGTCCACAGCCAACCTTTCTTCTAGTTCCAGCATCCATCCTACTTCCTCCATTCCTACCCTTCCTGATTACTGAAAAAATCTTCTATTTCCCTCAACAGCAATTACTGTCTCTAGTACCCCATGTAGCCCTTAAGCATGATACTGTTTTATATGTTCCACTATCTGTTCCTGTGTAGCTTACTGCATAACTACCTGTGCGAGTGTGCTTTACTCCCTAAACTCCACGAGGACAGATATCATGCATTTTACTTCTTTGCAATCCCCAGGACACACAATAAGAACAATAGCCAAAAACATTCACTGAGTGTTTACCACGTGCCAGGCACTGTGCTGTTTCTAGCATTATCTCATTTAATTCAAACAACAATCCAACAAGGTAGGTACTATTACTCTCCCCAT